ACGTTGAAAGCCTCCGGAAACTGCAATATAAACGGTGCAAATGGTTGTATAGTTAGAAAATTAAAATTGGATATAATGAAGTATTTTATTTTCTTGGAATTATTCCTCTATTTTCGAGATCCATCTTCGTTTCATTAAATATTCTAGGGTTAATTGCTTAAGTTTTGAAATTTGGATTGAAATTATGCAGGTGGCTAATGAAGCTGACCTTGGGCTGAGAGTGTGAGTGGTGATAGGCCTTATTGAGCCGGCGTGTGGAGAGAAGGCAAGAGCCGGTAAACAATTGGTCGCCGAGATCATAGAGATGGTGACGGAGGAGGTCGTTGTCGAGATCGGAGGACTTGTCTTGCCTCACAACTACCACGTCTTGTCCTCCTACGCTAACTCCAGTTATTACGTGTGTCCCATACCTCTCTATAAACCTGTTTTTTCAGTATTGTTTTTATTATTATTATTATTATTATTACTAGGACTCCGGACCCCCGCGATGTCGCGGGGAAAAATATTTCAAAAATCGTTAAAAAAATATCAAACAAAAATTAATAATAACGATGGTAGATGATTAAATGTTATAACGATTTATAAAATAAACTTAAGTTTCAATTTTTCGTGAAATAAACTAAATGTTGCAATGGTTCAACTAAACGGTTGCAACCATTTTATGAAAAGTTACGATAAAAATATGCAACCATAAAAAATATTTATTCGGATTGCAACTTTCTTAAAACATATAATGTAAAATAATTTTTTTAGTTTAAAAAAAAAAATGAAATGTTGCGATATATCAAAAGTTGCAACGGTTCGTCAAGTTTGTCAAATAAACTAAAGATTACAACGGTTCGTAAAATAAAACCAAAATTGCAATGATTTGTCAAATAAATCAAATGGTTCAACGGTTCAATTAAATGATTACAATCTCATTTAAATAAATTTTGGTAATTAAAAATTAAAAATATTAATTTATGAAAAGTTATACCGAGAGACTCGACGACAGATAATTAGATGTTATAGCAATTTATAAAATAAACCAAAGGTTACAATTGTTCGTGAAATAAACTAAATATATAAATCAAAGGTTGCAATCGTTCGTGATATAAACTAAATATTGCAATAATTCAAATAAGAGGTTGCAACTGTTTATGAAGAGTTACAATAAAAAATGCAACCGCTGAAGACATTCGGATTGCAATTTTCTACAAAAACATACCCGTAAAATATAGATTTTAGTTTAAAAAAATTTAACGAAAAGTTGCGATTAAAAGACACAACCGTTCAGATGTGCAAAATGCATTTATTGAGAATACTATTATATATAGAAAATAACCATAAATATTTAAACGAAAGGTTGCAATAAAAAAACACAACCGTTCATATGTGCAAATGGTATTTATTGGAAACGACATAACCGTTAAAAAATAACCGATTAAAACGAAAATTACGATAAAAAGACGCAACCAAAATAACTATAAAAAATTAACCGATTTAAACGAAAGGTTGCGATAAAAAGACGTAACCGTTCAGATGTTCAAATGGTATTTATTAGATTGCTATTATATATAGATTATTTTGTTAAATTTTTATTTTTATTATTATTATTACTATAATAGTGACAAATTATTTCGTATTAGCTAATGTTTTTGATAACAAGTTGGTTGGTAGTTAGTTTATATATATGTTAGATTATTGTTTCAGAGTCTTTGCAAATAATGTTCAGTTTTTCAACGTTTTTATTAGTTTTTTTTTACTTTAAGTTCAATGAGAAAATATCAAGAACTTCTCCATTCTTCGGTACCATCGTAGTTGAAAACGTTGACAATTGAATTTAGATATTCAAAAGATAGGAGAAAACAGATATTCTACATTAATTGATATCATAGAATTAGTCAAAAATGCCACAGCTGTTCTATCACAATTCAACCAAAACAATTTTTATGTCCAAGTTTAGAAAATTTTGATTATATATATTTGTTGTGCTCATAATGTTAGCTATATCACTCAGTCAATGAAAGTATATACTTCAAAAAAAAAAAAAACATGTGTACTACTGACCTAGCCAATAATTGTGGGTCCCAGGAAGACGGAACTGCGTTTCGAACGCGATCAGTGAGACGCAAACGATTGGGATTGTGGATATGGAGATTAAATAGCGTTACAACAGAAGCGTCAAGACCTAAAGATTTAACGTCTGACGCGTCTGTTGCCCATGACCCGCTTTGAAACCCGAACGTCGCGTTAAAATTTCCCGACGGTATTTTTCCGGTCACCGATGACCTCTGGTTAAAATACTCCGACATCTGAATGATCCAAAACAACAACAACACACATGTAATGTAAAATATCTGATTTAGAAGTTTTGTGTTATATTTAATGATCAAGAAACTATAAAATGAGGAACCTTGTTGAAGTCAAGAATGTCCGAACGGAATCGAGTTCGTTCTCCTTTGTCGCAGTTTATATCGGCGGAGACGTTTTGAAAAACTCCGAAACCAGGAATATGCAATTCTCTGTTTTGCGTTTGGTCAAGGACAACCAACCTGTCATCTCCGGCGGCGCCGTCGCCGTCTTTGCAGTATTTCAACCGGAAATCCGCCGTCAAATCGAACCCTTTGCCAAGACTCTTAACCGCCGTTTCAATTACATCTCCTCCGCCGCCACCACCGTCTCTGTTCATCTCTGTTTCCTCTGCTAGTAAAAGCTGCGAGTCTTGGTTGGAGAAAAGGCATTTGTATATATATATACTAATCAAGAGAGATATATAAATAATGTTTGATTGCTTGTAATGATGATTAATCAAAAACTTATTATATAAATTAATCTTGAACAGGGGAAGAAAAAGAACGTGATGCTGTGATTATCGGATTATTCCAAAAGTATGAAAACGAAGAATAACAGCATCGTTTACGAAGTCTTCGGAGGAACACGTAAATAGATTACTTGCAACGGTATTACTTTAAAAAAGTTGTAACATTATATAGTGATTTTGGTTGATATAAAATTAATTCAAATTGTAAACATTATAAGAAAAGAAAAAACTGAGTACCAACGTTAATTTTTTATATAAACAATTTGCTCTTTATATGGTATTATGGGTTTTATGTCTATGTTAAAATTGTACTAGGTGTTTAATTACGTAGTCGATGCAGTTATTATAAGAAACGTTTATATGGCTTTAACTTTTAATGAATGTGTTTCTGTTTGTTGCAATAAGAATTGCATATAAATTTCCATAAACCAAAAGAAAACAAAAAGATTTTGAGTCGTTGACCATTTAACCCGCGTCTCAAGAAGAAGAAAAAACTAGAGTTTCAACTTTCAAAACTCCTATCTTATCACATATCAAACCGATCTCAGTTTAGCTCCAACTATATAAACAATTTGTACATGAATTTAACAGTTAAATCAAATAAGATTGTTTTCCTAGATTTGATCATTCCATTTTGTTATGAAAAGTGGTAAAATACATTTAACGCACTAAGTACGTTTAATCTTATCACAATTATCAACCTAAAATTAGGGGGAAGTAGTCCGCACGGCTAATTAACTCAATCCAAAAATTCCAGTTTAGGTGATAAAACTGAATAATATGAACATGACTATATTTTGAAAAACTTGTTTGACTGATTAGTTAATATTTGATAGCAATGTCTAACGTCTCTTTCTTACTACGTAATAAAAACATCTACACATAAATAACACAGAAGTTGCCTCTTCTTTTTCTCTTATTTACTTATGTTTTCACACACACACCATTAAGCTGATGTGACTACAAAATCGCGTACACGCATAAAAATATCACAAAACTAATGTCGGTAAATAAACAAACACATCAACATAAGAACATAAAATTGCATTGTTTACCTCCACTCGAACTCGATATCATAGCTTGACTTCTATGTCGAGTATTTGTACCATTTTAATAAGTTGTTTAAAATCGGAATAAACGGAGAAAATACGTATATATGTTAAGTTTTTATATTCCAAACATGTCAAGGTTTAAATGTAAAATATATTTAGTGACAATTGGTGTTTGGTAGTTTGTTTTCGAGGTGAGGATACAGACAAATACAAAACGAGTTACAAAAGGGTCACATATAGTCATATAGTCGACAAGAAACAAGTATAGAAATACATCTCCAAAATAATTTGATCTTAAATCATTAGCGTCTGTGTGAACGCAGCTTTCGCAACGCGTCTTTCTTGTTTGTTTATTACTATTTACTTTATTTTTAATAATTTTTTTCACTGGCATTGGTTTAGACTTTAGTACGTATGATTGGTCAAATTATACATTGGGTGTTATTGGTTAATTAATTTGTAAATCCATATAGGATTTGGAAATTTCTATTAATTATGAAATCAAGATATATGGATTTTGAAATAACATGTGTTTACCCGTGAATTTGAATCCTTCTATTTTTCTCTTTCAATTTCATACAAATCCATTTAAAACATAATTTGGATTCTCAAATCGAAAAACAAATGACTAAACGAATAACATAGGATTTTAACTAGTATTTATAAATCATAGAACCAATAACACATGATTTTAAATAGGATTTTAAAATTAATGATTGAATAACAAATTATTTTTGTTTGGATTCCTAATTCCTTATAAATCCATGAACCAATAACCCCTAAATTCTTTTTCTAAATGATCACAATTATACATTACTCCTGCTATATTAACCAATAGCCCATGAAAAAACTGCATCTCTTAATTATAGTTTTGCCACACGTTTTTTCTTCTGCCGATTTTAAATCAAATTGTGGCTATTTATCTAAATAAGCATATAGTTTTTTAACCCTCGTGTTAATTATTGCATATATTTTTTAAAATAATTGATTTTATGTTTTGTTTTCTTTAGTTATGAAAATCAGATTTCCATAATTTAATATATACTACCGTTTTTGGAGTAAACCATATTAAATTATTAATACATGGAAAATATACCTCGAAGTAATGGCCCAGGGCCAAGAAAGCTTCTAGTTAACAAGCCTTCAAATAATATAATTTTGACGGTTGTGATTTCATTTTGAATTTTAACGGTTTCAATCAATTATAGTAAAACGAGCAAGCCCATTTACGGCCCAATCTACACAGCTGTCTTTTCGTCTTCCCACACTAATCAGACTCGGCATGGTGACCGGGGAAGAAGGTCTCGTTTTCAAAATTTCTAAACGAAAAGTTTAAAATTTCGAGGCGGGAGATTTGCGAAATCAATGGGCTTTTCTTCTTCTGTTTCAAATCTGGAAATTTTCGCGCTAATTCGCTTTTAGGGTTTGTAAAATTTCATCTTCCTTATTTCCTTGTTTGAGCCTATTTGATGACTCGCTTTCAAATACTTACATTTCTCTCTCTATGGTATTTGATAGCGATTTCGTATCGGTGGTGTTGAATTTAGTGTATGAAATTGCTAGTTTTGATTGATTATTGATCGATAAATTTGAGGGTTTTAAGGAGAAATTGGTTTAGGGTTTTCTTGATTCTGTGTGTTTTCTGTAACGCAGCTCTTGATGGATGACTATGGTGGTTCTGATTTGAGCATTGAGGATCTGATGGATGAGTATTCTTCTCGACCCTCACAAATAGCTGAATGGTTATGGTGTATTGAATATGTAGCCAAATTTGTGAAGGATATAAGCTGCTTACTCGGTCCATCCCGAAACTCCTCTTACGGTTTTTGTGTATCTTAATAGAGCAGATGTTAATATGAAGTCTCTTTGTTTCAGATTTGATGAACATGGGTTATCAATACTCTAATGACTATGGGAGGAGGATTAATGAAGTCCTGTCTCTGAGAGTCTTGGAGTTCATGTTTGATCCAACCAAGTATGATGCTAACGGTGTTGGTGTTGCTTCTACTTCAGAGGCAAGAGTTGAGTTTGATTTATCTTTGAGTAACACTGATGTTCTCAGAGCAATTCTGAAAGAGGTATAAGGAACCTGTATTTGATTAGCAGTAGTAGAATTAGGATCTCTGGGTTTCTAATTGTAGTATTTTGTTCTCTTATGCTAGATTCCAGTATCAGAACTGCGAGCGGGCATGCCAGAGCTATCAAAGTTTGATGTTCTTCCATTTATTGCTCACAAGAAAATGTGTTTGCCACAATGCGCACTGGAGATGGTAAAGATTCTTTATACTTTACTTTCCTTTGCTTCATGCTGATTGCTGAATCAAGTGATTGAAACAACAATGCACAATGAGTTTTTATTGTTTGGATTGTGTAGCTGAGAGATGTGAGTTTAATGGAGAATCAGACTAGTGCAGCTCCTTCCATGGAAACAAATGACCCTGTTTTTAGAGATGATAGATCAGTGCACATGGATACATGCGAGGAGGTGACGGTAGGTGAGCAACGAGTACATATTGGTAACGAGAAGAAACCCATGGATGAGCAGCAAGTGCATATTGGTTTGGAACAAAACATAAAAGAGAAGGATAAAGTAATTGCTATCGACGACGAAGATGAGCCAATGCACACTAATGATAAAGGTGAAGTAATTGTGATCGATGACGATACTGAGAGGGATCAAGACACAACCGCTGAACCCATTAACAACGGTAATACTACTGATGAGACCTTTTCTCCAAGCTCTAGAAGATCTCCAAAGGATGCACGTGTAAAATGTACAAACGATGGAACCTGGTTAATCAGTGGGAGCGATGATGAGTCAGATATGGTTAAAGATCCAGCCTCGATCAAGAAAAATCCAAACACTGACTTGAACCTTCTTCCTTCGAGCTCCCCAACAAGACCGGAGAATGTATGCTGGAAATGTGAGAAAGAAGGAACATTATTGATATGTAGCAAAAGCGAGTGTGCAGCAAAAGTTCACAAGGAATGTTTGAATTGTCCGGTTAACGTTGATGAAGGTGGGAACTTTCTCTGCCCTCTGTGCTGGTATGACCGAGTCGCCATGGAGTACAATGAATCGAAGAGGTTGATTGGCGGCGCCAAGAGAAGATTGGTGAAGTGTTTCCCGGTACTTTCAATAAGAAGCAAGAGACTCAAGTGATGATGCTGCAACTTCACTATAATTTAATCTCTTCTTTGTCTTTTGGGGTGATCGATGTTAGATATGTAATTGTAGAATTAAGTATGTGCTTTTGTGCAGTTCGAATCTCTTGTCCTTGGTATATTCTGGGTAGGAGACAAGTTAGGGAAGGAAGGTGAAGCAACAATGTTCATGTGTTGATGTAAAGAATTTGAAAACGCAGGCGCCAAGTTAAGGATTTGAATGGTGATTATTTAAGGGTAATTGTACTAAATGACTATGTACATAGATTATTGTTCTTTAATTTGCAAAAAATTAACTAAATAAATCCTACTTTTATTGTATTCAATCTCATAAGAAAACAAAGATACATTTGATCAAAAGTGAACCCAAAGGAAAGTTAAAATAGTAGTATTAGACATTTCTCTATGTCCTAACAAAAATTAAAATTACAACCTAAACAGAAAATCCATAAAAATATAAACACATCTGAAATATTTTCGAGTAGGATATTTAACATTCACCTAAAACCTATCCTTTTTCTATACCAAATACGAAGTTGCTCTTTTTTTTAAAGAAAATTTGAAATATCTAGCAATTTTGTATGGAAATTGTGGTCACCATCTTGAATCAAGAGACCAATAAATGAAGTAAACTTAAGATTGATAGTTGGAGACTAAAGAAAAGTAGGAAAAAATAAGTAAAGTTTAAATATTGTTATCTAATTGAAAAAAGAAGAAAGTGGATAGTACGAAAGGTCGTTATCGAAAGATCAATAATAGGGTTTGGGGCTCCAAAACTGGCAAACTCATAACTCATCAAAAATGGAACTGTCCCATTGATGTAACAGTTCTATTCCTATTTACGATCTTCTCACTGTTCCCTCTTCTGATTCCTTTTTTGTCCACCTTCGTTGCCCTCTCTCCTCCTCCAATTTCTCCAACATTAGTATACAATGTATATATATTGCACCATACTAGTGAATTTTTAAGATCAACCCACTAGATGAACACAAATTTCAATTATGAGATTGTGTTATTATTTCAATAAAACATACCAAATAATCAATGTATATACGTGTAGATTTGAGATGGTATGTAAAATGATTTAGAGTTATATGTTTCTATAGTTTGAAATATTTAGGAGCTGGGAAGGATGGAAACGAAAAAGGCAAAAATGGAAGCAATGAAACTTGTGCATAATTCTATTTATCGACAGTCTGACTCAAAGTGCTTTCGTAAGCAATGATACAATGCTTCACCCTTTTCTTCTTAATTCCACTGTTCCTCCTCTCTTCTCCTTTCACTTCACCTCTATCTCCTTTTTCTTACTAATAATTCGCATCTTTTTTCATCTCCTTAATTAGTTCCTTACTCTGTTTCCCATTTATTATGTGTAAAACAATGACAATTGATTATGAGACGAATTCATTTTTAATAGATAAAACCCATAACTTTGTTTTTGTTTAGCTGAATATTATTAGCATCTTAATAATATGATAAGTGACATGTCGACCATAGTTTGACCAATGACTAATGTTATCGTATGATTCAATTATTATTTGTAACAGTAACAAGTGTCTCGTAGACCGACAACAAGACCAAAAAGTAATCTTAAAACCCTAGCTTCAAACTTAGATATATTCATGTTTCTCTACATGTGTGTATATCTATATATATACACAAATACTTATAGAGCATGTGAGACAGTAAAATTCACTAGTGAAATATGGATGTGAAGATAGATGAGAACAGTTCCTTAGAAAACATGAAACAAGAGATCAATCAGAATATAAAAGAAGAAGCAGAAGAAGAAAAAGAAGAGATTCTAAAGAAGAGAATCTCAAGCCACCCTCTGTATGGGCTTCTTCTTCACTCACATCTCAATTGTTTAAAGGTCCCCCTCTTGCTCTCCCCCCTTCTCTCTCTTTTATTGAAATGATTCAACAATTGTTGAAAATATTTTTCTCTTATGTATTTGAACCCACCACGACCAGGTGTGTTCCGGCGACTTTGACTCACCGGAGATCATGAACACGGCTGATGATCTTGCCATATCCAAACTCTCTCTTCACCCTGATTCTTCCTCCGAAGCTACCTCTTCAGAACTTGATCAATTCATGGTTCTTATTCTCCTTGTATTTCCCTTTTTTCTAAATAAAACAACATTTTCAGCCAAAACATATTTACACAACAATAAACAACATTTTCACATCACTTTTATTTTTTTTTCCGGTGCAGATATATTTAACTTTCAAATATTCTAAGTTTATTTTGCCAAGAGCAAAAATAATAGTATTGATACGTGTAAATTGATTCACATTATAGGAAGCGTATTGCTCGACTCTACGAGAGCTCAAGCAAGCAATGGAGAAGCCACTAATTGAAACGCACCGTTTTGTGGATGCCGTGTACACTCAGCTAAACGACATCGTTATGTCATCATCCCCTTAAAAAGGGTAACATGAACAACTGTTCGGTGCTACTATGTCAATGCATTTTGCCAAAATTACTTTACTAGTGTACTCACGTTTCATTGTGCTGCGTTTACGTAACGCGTTTCTATAATGGTAACCGTAATTTATGGCATCTCCTGCTTTTTATTTAAGAAAAATAAAACTACTTATATTTTTAAATATTGGATTGATCATTCAGTAGTCACACACTCTTTAGAAACACAACAGTATAATAAAATATAAAAACAACGCTAGCTTCCATGATTCTTTTCCAAGAATTTGAATAAAGAATCCAAGAAGCATTCATAATTGCGTCACCTTATAACGCATTGCTTTTCTTCCTATGTAACGGTTGTTGCATTGCTTATTTTTGACTACATATAGATACACAAAGATAGAATGACTAAGCGCTTAATATATCCTTGAGAAAGCCTTTGCGTCATTAACATGGTGTAAGACTACATGCACATTCAGCGTTTGGAGCTCCGATTCTATTACAGTAAGAGGGAACAGGACCGTAATAATCGCGACACATTTGGTCGCATTTTTTAGCATCGCATGGAACCATTGGCCAGAAAACGGGGCAAGTTTGTTCCATCATTCTCGTCTCTCTCGCACCTTTAAACAAACATAAGAAAATTTAAAAATTTGTGACAAAACCAGGATATGTCTTCTTAATTAGAAGATAAGATTAAAACTACTATTTATTTAAAAGATAAATTTTACCTGAGGCTGAAACTATGAAGATGGCCATGAAAAGAACAGCGAAATTTACGAGGTTTCTCATGGTTTTATGTTTTTTTTTTAATAAACTCAGACGAAGACTGGGACGTTTTATAGGCGAAATTGATAGAGAAAACCGGAAAAGATAGGCTCTCTTTTTTGTAAAATAGATGATAAACTTTTATCTGTTGAAAGAAGTGTTTATTTTGGAAAATTATGAATTTTATGTCCATATGATATTTAAAATAGCTGGATTTTGTTGACCTCATTTCATGTCCTATATCTGTATGTACTATATTTAGATGATTTTGATAATTGCTGTTTTGAAAAGAAGATATTTCTTTGATAACGAAGTAATTATGAACTTTCCAAGATTAAACAAAAAAGTCTAGAGATATTTGATTTTGATTTTAGATATAATCTTGGTTCATATCATCATCTAATTCCTCTATATACATTTTTGCCGTTGTCCGAAACGTTTGGGCTCCGTAGGAACAAAAGGAGATATTTAAATATTGGGTCTATACTATCATGGGCTTCAAAGTTTAATTTCTTTTTGGCCCAAGTTAAGTCAATTAACATTAATCACCAATTAACAGAAATAATTTGCTTCACCATGCGACATACCATATGTTACACAAGTAATGTATGTACGTATAATATCATCAAAGTAAAAAAAAAATATAATAATAATATCATCACAGTGATCTATTAAAAATTAAATTTTCTGTTTTAATTCTAACAATACAATATCCACAAAATTTATCTATGATTTTTTTTTAAAATCACACTTATGCTTAATTTATGTTTCTTTTAGTCCTTCCACGTGATGTGATGCAAAAAAATGATACTGTATGTTGATAAAAGCATACTAGATAAATTAATAACAAAAATATCAATCAGTTGGAGTAATTATCAAAAGCGCATGTTTTTAGCTAAATCTGTGATTGTTTCAGTACACAGATGCATTAATTTAAACGCAAACGCTGATCTCTACATTTGCCAAACAAGACTAGCGTCCAAAAGTTGCGATTTGTTCACGTGCACCAAACCGCAGAGTATAATAATCTCTCTCACTCGCCACCATCTCCACTCTTCCCAATAAACTTCCATAACTGCATCAGCCCACTCTCTAGTCTCTAACTAACGAACTTCCAATTTCAAATTCGAAATTCTAAATTCTACTTTTAAGCATTCGTACGGAGAAAAAATGAAGGAGATCGCGATGAGGAATTCGAAGCGCAAGCCTGAGCCGACGCCGTTCGCCGGAAAGAAGCTCCGGTCGACGCGATTACGCCGGAAGAGAGCTCAGATCTCTCCCGTTCTTGTTCAATCACCTCTCTGGAGCAAGCAAATCGGAGTCTCTGCTGCTTCTGTTGATTCCTGCTCCGATTTGCTCTTCGTAGCTGATGACAACGTCTCCTGTGGTTCGAGCAGAGTCGAGAAGAGCTCGAATCCGAAGAAGAGTCTAATTGAAGAGGTAGAAGTTTCTAAACCTGGTAATAATGTGAAGGAGGTGATAGGCGATTCCAAATTCCGGAGGATTACGAGGTCTTACTCTAAGCTATACAAGGAGAAGGAAGGAGATGAGATCGAAGTAAGCGAATCGTCTTGTGTTGATTCGAATTCTGGTGCTGGATTAAGGAGATTGAATGTGAAGGGAAACGAAATTAACGACAACGATGAAATCTCTTTCTCACGATCCGATGTGACTTTCGCCGGACATGTCTCCAACAGCCGGAGTTTGAATTTCGGATCGGAGAATAAGGAGAGCGACGTCGTTTCAGTCATATCTGGAGTTGAGTGCTGTTCCAAGTTCGGGAGCGTTACCGGAGGAGCTGAGAACGAAGAAATTGAAATCTCCAAACCAAGCAGCTTCGTGGAAGCTGATTCCTCTCTTGGATCAGCCAAGGAATTGAAGCCGGAGCTTGAGATAGTCGGATGCGTCTCTGATCTCGCTTGCACTGAGAAATTCTCTGACGAAGAGGTTTCGGATTCTTTCGATGATGAGTTATCTGAGCAGCGTTCCGAGATTTTTTCACAGTATTCCGACTTCGATTACTCGGATTACACTCCGTCGATTTTTTTCGACTCTGGTAGCGAATTCTCTGAGAAATCTTCCTCTGATTCTCCAATTTCACATTCTCGCTCTCTGTATCTCGAGTTCAAGGAACAGTTCTGTAGATCCACAATTCCGAACGATTTGGGATCTTCTTGCCAGGAAGAAATTCACTCTGAAGTAAGTGGTATAATGATTTCATATCTCTTGGAATAGTTGCTAGTAGTTAGAGATTGAAGATGTGGTTATGTGCTTGAAATTGTTCACTCGATTACTAGTCTGTTTTGATCTGAGACTTGTTCTGCTCTGTGTTCAAGACTTGACTCTGAAATTTTGTTCTGGAATGAATCTTAAGTATACATTTTCGTTTTAGTTGCTAAGGTTTGATGATGAGGAGGTGGAAGAGAGCTATCTAAGGCTGAGGGAAAGAGAGAGAAGTCATGCATATATGCGGGACTGTGCTAAGGCTTACTGCTCCATGATGGACCGTACTGATCTCATCCCTCGTTTACGCTCTATCATGGTTCAGTGGATTGTGAAGGTGAATATTATCTTTCTGTTCAAATGCATTTGCTTATATATATCCATTGATCTCTGAATGTTGAAGCTCGGATATATGTATCAGTAGCAGAATATTATGAAGAGAATGAATGTTTGGAGATCTTGTTTCTGGTTTTAAGAATGTTTTAGCCTAAGGAAATCTATAGCTTACTTTGGAATCTTTTAAGGTTTATGTATCAGTAAGCTATGATATTCTTAATTTGTTGCTGATTGTCTTCTCCCTGATTACAAGCAGCAATGTTCTGACATGGAGCTTCAGCAAGAGACATTGTTTCTAGGAGTTGGTCTGTTGGATCGATTCCTGAGCAAAGGATCATTCAAAAGCGAAAGGACTCTAATACTAGTCGGGATTGCGAGTCTTACTCTGGCCACCAGAATTGAAGAAAATCAACCTTACAACAGGTACTAACCATATTCCATCTTCATGATTCTAACTTCCAATGTTCATTAGATAACTGTTCTGAATAGGAAAAAGATTATGACCATTACAAGAAACTGAGTATTACACTCAACCACTAATAATGGTCTTATACACACCCTTATGGTTTCTGTAAGCAATTAATGAATTGGCTTTTCATGTGTGTCAATATTGGATTATGTTTCTCAAAAACACTCTTTACTGCAAAAACCTTCTACAACACAGAGGAAGAGTTCAATTTTCTTCAGCTGCTCACCTGATACTTCTCTTTTTAAATAGCATCCGGAAAAGGAACTTCACCATTCAGAAACTAAGATATAGCCGGCATGAAGTGGTGGCAATGGAGTGGCTGGTTCAAGAAGTCCTCAACTTCAAATGCTTCACACCCACAATCTTCAACTTCTTGTGGTAATTAAAACCTCTCTTACTATATATTTTCATATTCCAAGATATACACACACAGAAAGTTACATATAACTATCATTTATACATCTCAGGTTCTACTTAAAAGCTGCTCGAGCCAATCCAGAAGTTGAAAGGAAAGCCAAATCCTTGGCTGTTACCTCGCTATCCGACCACACTCAACTCTGTTTTTGGCCCTCAACTGTAGCAGCTGCACTCGTGGTTCTCGCCTGCATCGAACACAACAAAATCTCTGCGTACCAACGAGTCATAAAGGTATCATCATCAGTCCCTTCAATAACACTTTAATACCTTTTAGTATCGAGAACATACAAGAATCTTCACAATCCCAAAACCTCTCTTTCTCTCCAGGTCCATGTTAGAACAACAGATAACGAGTTGCCTGAATGCGTCAAGGTATTTTCAGTAACACTCTCATTATATACGAATCTCATTTTTATCCACTAAACGTAAGGTAAGTGACTGTTTTCAAATTTGTGTTTCCTATACAACAGAGTCTGGACTGGTTGCTTGGGCAGTAAGCAATCAAAAAGAATCAAAAGCCCTAAAACAAGGACACAGTATACTCCGATACGAACACACGGTTATTATTACCATTTACAAAACAAACACAAGGTAAGTAATAAGAAATTCCTCTACAGATTTATATACTTAATCGAGCTGGACTTAATTAGCTCTTGGGAATTATTAGGCCCTCATTTGTGTCGCCATATACATTTAATTCTTATTTTCTCCAATTCATTATACAATATTCTTAAAACATTGTATTTCCATGTTTAAAGTTTCCTCTTTATTACGTCTGATATATAAACAAGCTACAAGCTACAAGCGAAATCATACAATAAACAAACTAATTAATCTTAACTTATAAACAAGCTTAATTAATCATGAGAAAAGTCGATTGAAAGTAACTTGGAGATTCATTATAAGTACCGCAATAGATAGTAGAGGTGGGATAAGGAAGACTACGGCAACAAGTGGTGGCAGGATTAAGAATGCTCATAAGAGTACAGGAGTAGAGACAGAACAAACCGTCGCAAGGGATGGAGATTTTGGAACCTTTAAACCGGTGAATAGGTGAAATGGGTGGGTATGGGGAAATTTCATGTACGATTCCATTGGTAGAAAACAACATAGTGTCAAAAGCTAGACGGTCGTATCTTGTTTCACTTGATATTGTGAGGATTCTCGCTTGCTCTCCTAGAGATTTCTGAAACCTAAAGTGTCTATCTAAGAAAAACTTTGATTCTATCGTTCCTCTCCAATCTCGCGACACAGCTTTGAATCGCATCAGAGATCTCACCTGAAGCTTTACCAGAATATCTTCTACAATCTCTTGCGGAATTTGTCTGCATCTTCTTTTCTCTTCCTCCATCTCTACGACCTAATTAGGGTCTCTCTTTTCTTAAATCAGGGTTTTTACTTTCTTACTTTTGTTAATTTTTAAGTACAAAGGCTAATTTATTAATCAATGTTAGTGGACATCCACCGATCCACGTTGGACGGCAATAATTATCTAAACCTATCACATACTTGTCGTACTTATCAGCAAGTAACAAAAATATAGTAAATTTCGTGGTTACATTAAAAATTAAATTTTTAACCTAATTAATTGGCTAATATAAAAGTATTTGTCTGCTGTTTGTGTAAAATAGCTCTATTCCTCGACTGTCCAAACCTAAAAGCTTCGTTCGTCATATTTCAATGCCGGTGAGCCAACTCTTTTTATTTGACTCTCAAGTATAATTTCTCCCTCGCTTTAGTAACATTCCACGGGTTTAGGCTGATTAATATTATTTACAGTAATCCAGGATTGTTAGGTAATGCATCATCAATATAGATATCTATAATTGACTCTTCTGTTTTTCACGTTTAATCAAAATTTGCTATGGTGACGACCTTGACTTTATAAACGGTAGAAATCGTTAGAGTTGATGCTTGATTCTCGAAACTTTCATCTTGTTCTACCTACAAAGCTACTATTTTAACTTATAAATTAGAAAAGAGTATTATCTAATGTATTAATAAGGGGTATAAATGAAATTTGTTCATTTTTCTTAATTCGTGTAAAAAATGTTAAAATGACAGTTTTTGTAAAACAAAATGAGTAATTATCTATTTGGTATATTAAGAAAAGTTGTGAACCAGTTGAACCTTACTAATTACACTCGTCATATACTAAAATAAACTAAAGAAAGCTTAGAGTTTTAAAATAAACTAATTACCTTCGTTACTGTTTTTTTCTTTATGCTGGTCAGAAGATAAAAGTTCTAATCTCTACTATGAATAAACTTTTATGAACTCTTACTAAAAAGAGACAAGCAGTAAAATTTAGCGAAATATTTTAAAAGGATAATAGATTTTAAGGTTGATTATGTGACACGAGTTGTTATGCTAGTCTTCAATCAGTTAGTTTGTTAGCTTGTTATGACATGCATCTACATCTAATTTACACAACATCTACTCATGTAGGCATTTATATCAATATCGAATTTGTATCGGAAACTCGAACGTTGCAAATTTGACATGCCAGGCGTGATCTCCGACGCTACTTCTTAGCCATCTACTACATCTTACACACAGCTAGCTAGTTACATCATATCCATGTTGACAATTTCTCATTAATCATGTATTCGTGTTACACTCATTTAACTCGCGATGTTATCGTGGTTATGGCGTGAAGCTAATATACTTGAGGCCCCACGTATCCACGAGACTGCCATCGCTTAGATAATGGGCCTTCGCCTGAAATCAACGACATGAGGACCGGATCTCTTAACTGGGGCTCAATTACATTTAGTTTATAGATCCATTAAGAAAATCCATGGCCATAAATATAAATTCAGTTTGTGCAAAAGAAATAGTATTCAATAATTATACTGATACAAGCAATGCATATCCTATAATATCATTGTTATGAAAAGTCAACGGCTGTGTGCCAATGCCAGATGCTTACAAAAACATAGGTAAGAAGAATATGACAAGTTGGGGCATCAATAATACGTTACGTGTTGACTTTTCCATTTTTAAATTTTTTGATATATTCGGACCTGGTCCATTGTCCATTTATATTCTTGAGACGTAAATCACCTCATAGTATTGTATTATAGATTTAGTTCTGATAAATACAATTAACAATATCTTAATCAGTAGCCGATCAAATTTAGATTATAGTATTTCTTTTCAGTTTCATTCATTTGCATCGTTTTGACTGTTTCAGAGAAAAGGTTCATAAATATTTGTCTTCAAACGTGGTAAAGTTCAATCGATGGGAACATTTGTTTTATTTTAATTGGACTTTGAATATAAACAAAGGATTTTATACTTAAAAAGACGATACTTATTAGCCTTGTTTGAAAAATCGCTAGGCGCTAGTCGGGCGCTCGGTATGGGCCTAGCGATTAATCGGAAAATCGGATTAAAATCGGGGATTAATCGGGGATTAGTTTTAGGGTTATTTTAATATTTTTAAAATATATTAATCCAATATTGTAAAAATTTATGATTTTTATTACAAATTTATGATTTTTATTAAAATTTGAACACAAGTTATTGTAAAACATCACAAACTCTCCATTCAAATGATTGAATAACAAAAATAAAAAGTTTTTTTATACTTGCAATCTAAAAAATAATCGGGGTATATAAGATTAGGCGGAAAGTAATCGGATTAGGCGGAGAATAATCGGGTTACTGATTTTTTAGGGGATTAGTCATTAATCGAGGCGGATAGGGTGGGCCTAGCGATTAAGCGGGGAGTAATCGGGGCTAGGCGGGGATTTTTAGAACAGGGCTTATTAGTAATTGTCTAATAAATTTCACTATATTCTCTTGTCCGAAAAACCGCGTCTAGTGACTCGTGTGAACACTTTGAACCAAAAAAAGAGAAAAACAACCGTTAACTTATTTTATGCTTGAACTTGCCGAATCTATAATGACAAAAGTACCCTCAATACTCTCACGCTATTACACTTGTGCCACTGAGACGACCAAACTTTTTTCCCACCGTTTTACCAATCTCTCTCTCTCTATATCCGCTTCGTAAAATCCACTCTCTCTCTTTCTCTCTTTCTCTCTCTTTCAACGCCATGATCGGAGAGAAAGATCTCGCCGGAGATGGAGAATGCTCTCGAACCAAAACATCAAAGCCTCGATTCTCTAATCTAAACAACCAAACTTATCAAGATGACAAAACCGGTCAGTATCATCAGAAAGGCGTCGACTTTCTCAACGTCCGGTCCAATAATCCCGATGGTGGGTTCTCTTCAAAATCATCACCCAGATCAGGAAACGAGCTCACTCTTAGCTATCTCTGCGAAAACCGTGAACTTTCCGGTAAAATCGCTGAAAGTCTTGGTCAAAAGGGGAAAGAAGTAGTAACCTTTTCTGAGAATTCGAGCTACGATGATAAATGGGTCGAGAGAGATTTCTTCAATTTGAGAGAAATGAATCCGAATTCTTCTAAGCGAAAGGCTCACGAAGAGGAAGAAGAAGCTGAAGAAGAAGAAGAAGAAGATAAGAAAGCCAACAAAATCGAAACCCTAAATCTCTCTTTAGCTTTACCTGATGTTTCTCTATCTTTAACGGCGTCAAACGCCGTGAAAAGGCCGAGAGTGACGAGCGAACGAACTACGACGTCGTTTTCAAACGATTTCACGGCGACGGCGCCGTCGATGTCTTACTCTTACTCTCACCCTTTCTCTCACAACATCAGCTGCTCCATGACTCGAAACTCCACAGATTTCGATTGCTCCGTTGGTAAAGACGACCATATCTGGTGCGCCGGTGAAGGAACCAACGGATCTGTTCACAGCCGATTCAGACCAATCGGTGACGGCGGCGTTGCGCTCGCTAACAATCCAATTTCCGGTAAACCTTCAAGCTCTGCCGATTACTCTTTCTTCCCTTCGGAGTTACCAGCTCGTCCGGGGAATGAAGTCACGATCTCCGGCGATTCGAGGAAGAAAGTAGCTAACTTGGAAGATAACGATGCGGTTAGATCGGAGAGGGTTTTATACGACATCGTTTCGAAATCGATTTCTTCTGTGGCTTTGATTATTCAAGGGATGGCTGATGAAACTTTGGAATCAGCTAAAGAGTATTTGAGGAACTTGATTGATTCACCGGAGAAGAAGGAGAAGCTGACGAATCTTCAGAACCAGATTGATAAAAGATCTGATCTTAGCAAAGAGACGCTATCGAAATGTGTTAAAGATCAGCTTGATATCTTGGTAGCTGTAAGAACAGGGCTTAAGTATTTCCTCTCTGGTAAGATCAGAATCCCTATGAACGAATTGGTAGAGATCTTTCTGTTCTTGAGATGTAGGAATGTGAATTGTAAGAGTCTCTTGCCTGTTGATGACTGTGAATGCAAAATCTGTTCCAACAACAAAGGCTTTTGTAGCTCTTGTATGTGTCCTGTTTGTTTGAGATTTGACTCTGCTAGCAATACTTGTAGTTGGGTTGGTTGTGATGTGTGTTCGCATTGGTGTCATGCTGCTTGTGGGATTCAGAAGAATTTGATCAAACCGGGACATAGTTTGAAAGGTCAGAGAGGTACTACTGAGATGATGTTCCATTGCATTGGATGTGCTCACAAATCAGAGATGTTTGGATTTGTTAAGGATGTTTTTGTGTGTTGCGCCAAGAATTGGGGACTTGAGACTTTGATCAAGGAGCTTGATTGTGTTAGAATGGTTTTCCGAGGAAGCGATGATGCAAAAGGCAAAGCATTGTATCTCAAAGCCAATGAAATGGTTAAGAAGTTGGAGAGTAAACAGATTTCCCCGCTTGATGCTTCTAACTTCATCATTCAGTTCTTCAACTGTAAGTTCTCAATTTCTACTTGTATAAATCATGGTTTAGATCGAAGATTATTAACAAGTAAAACCTTATGGATTCTATAGATTGAAGGTTGATTCTTTCCTTGTCTTATCATAATTTATTGCAGATGCGGAGTCAGTACCAGAAATTCCCGACCCTCCGAGAGAGCTAATAGTTGCAGCAGAAACGAGCTACAGAAAAGACGAGGCATCTGTGACGCCTTCAACATCCAAGGATCAAAAGAAGAAGAGCTTTGCGTTAACTGATGCAATGATGAACAGTTTTGATAGTTTAGAAAGCATGGTGAGAATCAAGGAGGCTGAAACAAGAATGTTCCAGAAGAAAGCGGACGAGGCCAGAATAGAGGCAGAGAGTTTCAAGAGAATGATAGAAATGAAGACGGAGAAGATGGAGGAGGAGTACACAGAGAAACTATCGCGTCTGTGTCTGCAGGAGACAGAGGAGAGAAGAAGGAATAAGCTGGAGGAGCTCAAGAAGCTTGAGAATTCGCACTGCGATTACAGGAACATGAAGCTGAGAATGGAGGCTGAGATTGCAGGATTGTTGAAGAGAATGGAAGTTACAAGACAACAATTAGTATGAATGATTCTGAAAAACAGAGCCTCTCATTATCCATTGCTCTGCTCCTTGTTTTTGTTGTGGGAAATATCAAATTAGTGACAACTGTTTTATTTGTTTCTCTGGTATTGTCTTCTAAATTTTCAATTTTTTTTTTTAATCTATAACTTCCTCTTTTTTTTGCTTATATTTACAAATATACATATTTTATATGATTATATAATATATGTATTTTGTATAGAGTAAATCATTTACTGCCGTATATATTTTGGTCTTAAAAAGTTGATCATAAAAAAAGAATATGAAAATGAAAGGACAACTAGTAGTAGTAGATAAGAATTTGAATTTTGATAAAAATTTTGTTTTTAGATAACTAAAATATTTCTCATAGTCATTAGGTGACTTTTAGTAACACATACATAATAAACCTATTTCATTTATCCAGTTCTACTTCATCAAAAATACATACCACTCAAGACATCTTTATTGTTAAATAATACCCCAAAACATTAAAAATATTCTATTGAGAAAGAAGTATAAAGCTAACTGAATGGTAGTGGCATGAAATTTTTTGGGCCGTTAAAGTTGCTTTCTGACCTGGAAAATTTACCACTATAATTAAAATATGCAAATTATTACTTTAAGTAAGCATCAAAGATCAATCACAAAAGAAGAAAAATATCCGAAGTAAAATTAAATATCAAATAATCACTCTCATGACCAATTAGATATCACACGAATCACATCTACACACGAAAACAAACAAACAAACAAACAAGAATTCGTAGAATTATAAAAATAACAACGAAAGATTTGATGTTACAAAAAAAAAAAAAAAAAAAAAAAAAGATTAAAGGTGGGACTAATATAGTACTCCGTCAGTTGTAACGGCCAAGAGCGACGGAGAAGTCGACGGAAACGCCGAAGAGTAGAATGGCTAAGCCGAGGAAGTTAATTAGACGTGACTCAGCGTTTGTGCTCTGACCAAGCATCGTAGCTCTCTCCATGAGTCCGGTCAGTGCTGCCACAATACCCATATAAAGTAGAGCCCGACCACCTAAGACGTGCCACGGCATCATCCTCGTTCTTGTTCCCGACGATGATTGCGGCGCTAAGAATGTGAACGCACCGAATAGCCACTGTGAAATTATACAATTTCAACTATTTTATCCAAGTTATTTTTTCCGATTTTTATGTAAGGTAACGTTAAATTAATATTTATGAAGTAATTAAATAACCTGGACGCCGAGGAGGATGAAAGTGGTGAGACCGATCCAGGAGTGAAGAGAGACCATGTCTTTTAGGTTTAATTTGTCGTGGAATCTAAAGGCGGCGCAAATTCCGACAATACCTAGAACTAAGCCTATTAAGTGAAGCCCACCGTGAACCATTTTCTGAACCTGGTGCGACGCGTACGCCGTTTTGTACGTCATCATTGCTGCATCACATGATCAACCAATCATTGTCAAAAAGAAATTTAAAACATTCAAAATCTGGAATGTAACTTTTCTTCTGCAGAACGTCACGTGTGTACGGTTTATTAATTAGAGGGAAAAATTCAATATACCGATCACCAAATAAACCTATGAATAACACTAAGCCAAAAGGAAATCATCATTCTGTATATGGGCGAAACCTAACGAGATTGAACGGGCTATATGCATGGTTCGGTGGCAAATTTCAGCAAAACTTAACTGGTTCTATACTCAAATCATCCGTATTTTGTTGTTTATTTTCTTAATTAGATCGTAAAGAAATTACCTTGGCCCACGAGGAAGAGAAATCCACAGTACATGAGAAATGGGTGCACCTATATAAGTAATTAGAAAAAGATATTAATTCAGTTAATAGGTAAAATGATTAAATTCTTTCACGAATGTATACATTTTTTAGATCAAAGGTTCGCAATCGCATATGTATGTATCATAAAGTATAAAAATACAAACTTACATTTAAAACCTTAAGGGGGTTGTCGGAGCCATACTCGATGCCTTCACGGTAATGGAGAAGCCAAATGAGCATTAGAACAACGGCTAAAATGCCAAAGAAATGAGCCACAAGTGTTGGAAGCGACGAGTGACGCTTTGAAGTTGTTCGATCCCCCGAGAGATTCATTCTCTTGATTGGTTTTGATTCGAACCACTTCTTGTCCAAGAAGATGATGACTCAATCACTGAAGAGAGAGAGAGAGAGAGAGAGAGAGAGAGAGAGAGAGAGAGAGAGAGAGAGAGATATAGAGAGAGAGCGAGAGCGAGACAGAGAACAAAAAAGAAGAGAAGAGAAGAGAATGTGCTAGATAGAGTATCACCTGTTCTGTCGGGTAAGGATGATATCTAAAAGGGTTATTTATACTAAAGTGATTGTTTTGTGAAAATAACACAAACAATATATAAATGGAAACTTAAAATCACACGTAAGTGTTTACGCCAGATATGTCTAATATATATGTATATACCTCTAACAAATGCTGATGGAATTGACCCGGCCGGTAAGATTGATTCGACAACAATCCGGATAAAATTGTGGTTTAGAATCCTTGAACTCGTCCGCAAGTCCAATTTTTCATATGCTGTACAAAACTGAAATATTGTGCCATTTTCATATGATTTTTTGTTTAATGTAAAAAAAAAATGACGTTTAAAAATGTTAAGTATCCAAAGCGATGATTTTTGTCTATACTCAATCGATTCTTATTTTTCTGAAGGGACTAAAATATTTTAAGAATTGGTATAGGAAACCAACCCAATTGGTAATTTTTTCTAGTATTTTATAATTGTTATGCAAGATACTGTATTGGTGAACGAACTAATAGCTTACGTATAAGGGTTTGGAATAAAAATGAAGAGGCTTCTATAACGAAGACAGCTAAGGGTTTCAACTTTCAATGTTTTGGAATTTTTTGTACGTTTGATTCTAATCTCATCTATCTAACTCACTTTGTCCCTACCTTCTATTGCCTTTTTCTAGAATGCAATCTTAATTATTTGATGTAAAAAATTATTTATCTATATGTTGAATAAAGAGAGCGATCAAACACGTACAAATTAATAGAGGAGACAGAGAATTCCATTACTACGTCCAAATATGTTTTGTTAATTCTTAAATTTTGAGAGGTAGGACAGAGTTTAAAGATGTAAGAAACAAGGCTGGTGATCGCTTTGACATAAAGAGCGGCTGGATAATAGTTTTTTAAAATTTGTAAAACATAAAGATGGATTCAACTAGGGTGAGAGGCAAGGAAGGTATCCCCAACCAAACTATACAAATCGTTACTATATAATAAATTGAAAATACTAACTATAGTAATTAAGGATTTGGATTTACAAAAAGTAGGATAAATAAATTTTGTTGAACTAAAAATTTGAACCGGGAATTAGTTTGGTTTATAGATTTTCTTAATTATACCAAAGGACTCCCTGCGTGGGTCGCTCATATAATCTCCGGTATTTTTTTTTTGTTTTTGTCTTTTGACTAATACAATGTCAATTTCTGGTCAACTATCTTGACCAAAATATCACCAAACAAATAATTTGAACGATATGATTATCTTAGTTGAATATAATCTAAATATTTATGTGATAACATTTAGGAAGTATAATATCTCTTTGACTATATGATCAAAAAATTGTATTCTGATAGTTTTTCAAATGAATTAGTTCATTCAAATAGCATAAATATATGAAAGAATCTATGATCAATTACTGTGAGTTGTAAATAATCAAATATTTCCAATATTTAGAGGGGAAACTATATCAGGCTTTGCAAAATGAAGGCCCATTCCATAGTTGTTTCTGACGGTATGTAATCGCATGGCCTTTATAGCTTACAATTATCAATCATATCACTAGACAATAGTTTACCCGACTTCTATTATTGCGCTAATTGCACAAAACCAAATTTCGGATCGTAGCCGTTGGATCCAGCAAAAACTTAAAAAATTACCCACATGCATGGGTGGAAATCCCCATAAAGAAATTAACGGCTGCGATTGGCCAACGTGAGATTTGATGCAAACAAAACAAATCTCACGTGAATATTCCACATTGGGATCTTCCATTAGATTCCATGAGCTCAGAGCAAACGGCGCACACGTTAGCAGAAAACTCTGTTTTTTCGCTAATTTGCTCCCAGCAGACTTATTGGGACGATGACCGTTGTTGTGAGTTCCCAAATTATTACTATCATTTTTAACTTTTCTAACAAAAAACAAGAAGAAACAAATGTTTATTTTGTTTTCGTTACCAAATCTATACACAATAATGATATTAATGTAAATTGCTTTATTTATGTAACGCGTGAATTGACGTGGACCTACTTACCTGACAGACACTGGTATTCGTCCACAAAGGGTATTAACGGCGTCGATGTTGCCGTTAATTGCGCTGCAGAAATAATTTATCTGTTTCAGTGACATTACTTACCAGTGGGCACCATCGAGAGAGGTCCAACGGCTACTTGATGCTGACGTGGACGAAAATGTATATACGTCAGCACTCACAGGCCATTCACAAAAGTAGCCAAATTTATGTAATGAAGTCAGAATAGCTCATACAGAGTTACTTAAAGAGTTTGGAGGGTCTTTTTACCAATCATAGTTACTTGATTATAGTTCTAGTAACTAATTAAAGTTGCGTTAGTTCACTAACCTGTACGACACCGTTTTGTCAAATGGCTGGCACCTATCGGGCATTCATTGGCATAGCTACGTGGTGTCAAAAGTTCCATGATCCAAGTCCTAACCACTCGTTCGATGATGCCACCGTAACGTGTCGGAGCAACGTTTTTTTTTTTTGGCGATGGGTTTATTTTGTACGCGAATCTCGTTCTACCGAGGATCGTTTTGTTTACTAAAAGGCAAATCCATGAATTATAATCACTTGATAAGGATATTTCAGAAATGTATCATCAAAATGTTACGTGGTTGCCACATGTGGAAGTGTTGTCATGTTGGTCTAGACCAGGGATCGATTCCCCGCAAGCGCGCAATTGTTAGATTTCCACTTTGCCACATGGATATGAGCCCTTGCTTTCGGCCCATTTGCATACCCGGAGAAAGAGTCTATCTGTGGGTTGCACCTCCCCAAGAGATTAGTTTGGGCCCCTCCATAAGTCTGGAATTCCCCTAAATTATAAAAAAAAAAAAAAAAATGTTACGGCAAATGGAGCAGTTTCCGGCTACACATCACTTTTTATTTAATTTTATTATCTTACCTCTACACCTAAAGCTTCGACACAACTTGTTTCTTTTTCATATTCAATGATTTCACTTTTTTCTTAAAATGTACCCGTGTGTCTCCAACTCACCATTTCTATCCACACTTGCATGTTAATAAATTTCTTTGATTTTAGATATGTATTTTGATCAGCTAAAAAGATATTGTTTTATGATTCTTTTATAGGAGGAATACTTCAGTTGATAAGATTCTTTTTTTATTTTAGGCGAAAAAGATTCTTTTTATAATTATAACAATTTAAAACGGAAAGAAAACGGATTTGATTTTTTTTTTAATTCCTACATAAAATGTTACAATGATTAAAACATATTTTGTTTACAAAACTTGTAAACTTTCATCTGTATAGATTTTTAGTTTTTGTTTTTTTTCTTTTTGTCTGAAAATAAAAAGATTGTAGTGTTAGTGACTCTACCTGTGACTATTTGTCGGGACACATGTGTAAGCAGCAAAGCACCCTATGCTTTCTTGCTACTCTTGTTCTTTTCTCCCCTGTCTTTAATATCTTTAAGAAAAAAGATCTGATCGTCCAAAAAGTAAAAACCCATCCTTCAATGGGAAAAAAGTAATTAAATTTTGTATATGCTAAAATAAAATTGTAATAACTAATAAAAAAGTCGATATTCCACGGATTTCCTTAAAAACATGAATGTAAAAAATAATACTAGATTAAGATTCCATCAGTCTAATTGCCAATTAGTATATCATGGAAAAAAGTTAATAGCCTTTAGAAAATATTTTGCTGGTCCAATGCAATAAATTTATAAAAAGTAATTATGGAAAAACACAAGCTGACATATTATTTATGAAGATTAAAAGTATAAACCAACCATAGCCAGAAGTACTCTGCCTCAAACTCTATTTCTTTCACTATCCTCTCTCTCTCTTTCAACACAGCTCCAAAACTCGTCCTCAAGACGCTATTTATCCATTTAAATCTCTTCCCTTTTCGTCCTCATAATACTATACACAGAAACGTTTACACTCATAACAAAAATGGGTTTTATAACTCGATTTTTAGTTTTCATGTCACTCTTCACCGGTTTGGTTTCTGGATTTGCTCTACAAAAGCTTCCTTTTATACAGTTCGACGAAGGTTACACACATCTCTTTGGTGACCAAAATCTGATTGTTCACAGAAATGGAAAATCTGTCCGGTTAACGCTCGATGAGAGAACCGGTTTGTGTTCTTGTTCCTCTGACTTTGTTCTGTTTCTTTTAACCTTTTTAACATGATATTCTTCTTAAATTATGCTTACAGGTTCTGGATTTGTCTCAAATGATATTTACTTGCATGGCTTCTTCAGTTCTTCTATCAAATTACCAGCAGATTACTCTGCAGGAGTTGTTATCGCCTTTTATGTAAGCAACAATCTCTATTCTGTTTGATTTTACAAAATCCCACCATGGATATTCATTAGTTTTGAGCTTTTTGGGTCCACTCAAAACTAAATATTTCTCATGATTTTTTTTTTTTGCCCCACTGATTTTAGAAAGCACAATCTTGAAACTTTTTTTTTGTTTTCTCAGCTATCAAATGGAGACTTGTATGAGAAGAATCATGATGAGATAGATTTTGAGTTTTTGGGGAATATTAGAGGCAAAGAATGGAGGATTCAAACGAACATATACGGAAATGGAAGCACACATTTGGGCAGAGAAGAAAGATACAATCTTTGGTTTGATCCAACAGAGGAATTTCATCAATACAGTATCCTCTGGTCTCTTTCTCACATCATGTAAGTTAAAAACAACAAACTCATCTTAATTAGATTCTTAATCATCCTCTTAATTAACTATACATAGTTGATAGTTTAACACTCTCCCAAAGCTCATCATGGTTTTGAAACTCAACTAGCAATAGTTGGATTAAAAAAAAAACAGAGGATTTAGATGGCTAGTTAAAAAGCCCTTAGGCTTTATGAGTCTTTTAATGATCTTGGGGATGGAGACTCTTTAGCCGT